TAGCTTGTTTTTAGGATTTTCCATTTAACCTAGTTGTTTTGCTTTCCTCCTTCCCTTTCCTCCTTCAATCGATTTCGACATTTCGCTGAAGAATGTTCCCATCCCAAGCAAACGGGAGTACCTTCAAAATGTAGTCGCAAAACTGAAGACTTAATCAGGACAATGAGATGGAGAGCATACTTCTTCCTTAACGACAGGAAAAATCAAGAATCACCAATAATAGGGATACATATGGGTTTAAAAATTTAAAAACAGCACCTGTCATCGACCAACTACAAACGAGACTTCCCAAATGTGCATAGATAACTCTCTTACAGTATCATTTTTACTTGTAGACCGTGGGAAGACTATGTAATTAGGCACTTAAAATTACTAACTGGCAAGATGATACCACACAATCATAACAGTAATAAAAATAATAATATGAAAAAGTAAAAATATAAAAGTAAAGATATTCGCTAGTAAATTTAGTATAAGTGTAAAGTAGAATGTAGCTTGTTGAGATAGACGGGTGAATGAGTAAGGGGATTTCTTTTAAGCTGTCCTGTAGTGAAACTCTTTCTGTCTTTGTCCGTCTAGAATTTTTTTTTTTAATAGTGTTCAAAGGAATCCCGAAGCATGTTTTTTAAATTTTTTCATGTACCCAATTAAAATATATAACTGTCCTCATACGACAATATCAGCATATGATTGTTTTATGCCTCAGTGTATATATTTTTAGATTAATGCGTGTAAATTGCGCTTTTCCGAGTAGGATTATGTCTTCCCGCTTCAGCTACTGTTAAATCAATCATATTGATAAGATATGATCTCAATTTTGTGTATATTAGCATTGATGACTACAACTGATTATCGTCTCATGTTTGTATTACGAAACTGAGGCAAAGTTGCTTGATTTTTAAGTTCAAGTGACTGTGAAACAATGACTGATAGGTAGAGGGAATTAATCTTATTGCTGAAGCATATCAACCGTTTCGTATGATAAGATACAAATGATAAAACCATGACTCATTATACATCACTTAATTCTGCTTTACACAATATAACGCGCATATACACCCACATACATAAACATAAACAAGAATATACACACACACGACTACAGAATATGTCGGCTCATACAAGAACATTTCCACACGCAAACGCACAAGAACATGCACACATACACAAATATACACACACATATTAACGTAAACACAATATTATATAAACACTAGTTGTTTGAAATATATATATATATATATATATATATATATATATATATATATATAGAGAGAGAGAGAGAGAGAGAGAGAGAGAAAGAGATAGATACATAGATACATAGATAGATTTGCGTATTTAAAATCTTAAATATTGAAATTCATTTACTGGCGTTCTACAAAATTGAAACTCATTCTACCTGTCTGTCTCTTTATTTCTCTCTCCTCCGTCTCTCTCTCTCTCTCTCCCTATTCATCTATCTATTTGGCAAACTAATTATCTCATATCTCTCTCAGTGAATAACACGAGTTTAATAGGTATAAACACAAGCAGTTTTGGTAGTATGATCAGTAAAATATTCTCAAATTAATGTATCTGCTTGCGTAGTGAAGGTGCAGAGTAGCAATGAATTTTAATAATTACAACCATATATTCTTATCTTTGATGTGCTACGTTATATATATATATATCCATATGTGTATGTGTATGTGCGTGTGTTAACACCGAAATCTTTATAACTTCACGAAAGTATGCTTGTCACACTCATAAACAATTTATTTTCATCATTTTTACACATCGGTTACTTATTAATATAGTCTTTCTTAGAAAACGGTGTAATCAGCGGTAATAAAAACTTAAAATCCGTTAACTTTTACACACTATTGGGATGAACATTTTCTGAATTGCCTTTACTTTCACATGACGGAAATGTGTGACGTATATACACCGTGAAATTTTATATTTAATGTTCTGGTATGTATGCACTCGTTGAAATGCTGATTAAAAATGATGCCGCCCAGAGGACACGGGGCATCACAGGGATATTTCTGTAAAGCGAAGATGGAAATAAACACCAAGACAGTCGAGCACCAAATGACAAAAAATGGTTTCTGAGTCGGAGGATTGTGCATTCTTTCGGTTAATAAATTAGTTCTTTGAAAATAAAATATTTTTCAAGCAACAGGTCGCGTTCCCACCATCAATAAAACAAGCATGCTTCGTGATTCCTTTGAATGGTATTGAAACAAAAGAAAATTAAAAGAAGTTTCCTTACTCATTCATCCGACTTCCTCAATAAGCTACGTGACACTTTCCGTCTCACTTTCTTCCTTGCCTCTTCTTTCTCACACATACACACGAAGAAACCATATTTCCTTTTATCTCAATAAACAACTACAAACATGAAGTGTTAAAACTTTAATACTCATACATGCGAAGAAAAATTTAGTTGTAAAATATACGAAAATAAGAATATCTTATATTTTTATATTTAAATATTTTTTCGCCTTATTCTTCGTTGATTTAAATCCGCAACCGTTCACATACCTCATATTATCATTGTAAGGCATTTTAAATCACATATATACCACCCTCTACTCAAACACACATACGCACACAAATAAACAAGCCAATTTTTTAAAAGAATGATCACAGGCCATATAAAAATGAATTGTTTACAAAATGGTGTAATTTAAAAAATCCTGAAGAAAACGAAATGAATCACCAATAACCATCCCAAAAGTTAACTCACATTCAAAGAAGGTGGATCCTGTGTATCGCATGGGAGGGAAGGGCGTTGTGCATTAAAGGGTCCTTCTGCAAAATCAGACGAGTACTGTTCACATTTGGTTCGCTTAAAGGTAATTTAGTTCTAATTTAATATCTATTCTTGGAACAGTAAGTATCGTTTAAAACCTATCGAAGGACATAATATATACTCCAAAACTATATCCATTAGGAAATATATAGTAATTAATTCATTTGTTTATTGCTCACATGGAAATACCCTTTGTTAGACACTAGAGGTAATGTAATCTATCCTGTCGGTCTCTTTTCCAGTCGCTTTATCACCGTCGTGACGTGGCTTCTCTCTGTCTTTTCTACAACTGTTTTCATGGCAACTGCTCTGACAAGCTTTTTTCCCCCGATGCCCCAACTATAGTAATTTAAGTGTCCTACTAAATTGGCAATTATCCTGTTGAAATAGCTAAATGCAATCGGCAATTCTACAGCAACAGTTTCTTTCCTCGCCTTTCCTACCTATGAAACTAACTTCCATTTTTTTGCTACCCTGACAGTTTAAATTCTCAAGAATTTAAATGCAACGTCAATCGTCATTTTCTGTTTTCTTGAATGCACTTTATTTTTTGTTCTTCTCTCATCCCCCCCCACATCGCATTTTTCCTTTTTTCTTTCATTTTCACACTCTGCGCACGAGTGTCATTAATACTTTACTTGGAGTGAAAGGAGTAAATAAAAAGAAAATGTGGATATTTATTTGGTAACCTTTAGTCTATGGAAAGAGAAGCAGCTGAATACTCCCCCTCGTACTACTACTGCTAATAATAATAATAATAATAATAATAATAATAATAATAATAATAATAATATGCAGAAGATATTTATATAGCTGCACAGATCAACTACTGATAAACAAAATGATCCTGGAATATCGCAGGAAACGATGTAGAAATCTTAGCGCAGCGTGGATTGATTATCGTAAAGCCTTTGATAGTGTTCCACACTCTTGGATTCTTAAGACTTTGGATTATGATATGTATCAAAGAACATGAAAGTAGTAAGCGCCTTTATTCCATAATAAAAGAAGCCAGTAAGTTCAAAATGGAGTTTAAAATGGATGCAGAAATACAAGTAAAGCACAATACACCGATTGAAACTGCAAAATACATAAAAAGAAAGCAAAAACACATGCAACAGACCAGATACAGAAACAATTGCAAGATAAACCGCTTCATGGCCAATACTCTGCCCGTACCAAACAAGTAGACAAAACCCGTACCCATCAGTGGCTACATAGTGCGGGGTTAAAAGCTGAAACGGAAGGTTTTATACTTGCTGCACAGGATCAGTGCTTGTTAACTAGAAATTATCAAGCACACATACTAAAATACCGTGTTAGCCCAAAATGCAGGTTCTGTGATAATTATCCAGAAACAATTGATCATCTTGTATCAGGTTGCACGGTATTAGCACCCACTGAATTTAGAACCCGGCATGACAGAGTTGACCAATACCTGCACTGGAAAATCTGTAACTTCTACGGGAAGGAAAGTGAAAGAAAGTGGTATGAACACCACCCAGACTCGGTTACGGAGATAGGACCTGTTACAATTTTATGGTACTACACAATACAAACAGACAGAATAATCAAAACTAACCGCCCAGACGTTGTTATTAGAGATCGCACACAAAAAATGTGCCTCCTTATTGATATGGCATTACCTGCAGATTGCAATGTATCTTTCAAGATCTTCAAAAAGTTATCAAAATACAAGAACCTTGAAATTGAAATCTCAGATATGTGGCACATGGGAACATTAACAATCCCCATTGTAGTTGGACCCCTCGGATTGGTTGTAAAAGATTCCAGTAGACTAATTGAAGAGATTCCTGGAAGCCCATGCCTTAAAGATATACAAAAAATTGTTCTCACGAGTACAGCCCACACCTTAGGAAGGGCTTTGTCTATGTAAAATATCGTTTTTTTTTTTCCCAATGGAAAATGTCATGATGCCATTTTTAATCTCAGGTCCCTTGGCGGGATCCGGAAAGAAATGAGTATACATCAGAAATCAAAGGAAATAAGATAATAATAATACATTCATTTGTACAGATCCTTAATGCGGCCTGATTTTCTCAATAAATGTAAAAGGAAACATTGTCTTTATTGTTGCCTTGTTGGCATTTGCTGAATTGCATATTTTTGCATATATGATCTGTGCTGCGTGTTTCGAAGGTGAAATTTACTTGTAAATCAAAAGTTTCTCTTGGTTTTGAACAGCTTGCGTCGAATAAATCTGAGAGATAATCAGAGAGAGAGAGAGAGTGAGAGAGAGACGGCGAGAGAGAGGAGAGAGAGAGAGAAAGACAGCGAGAGTGTTTGTGTGTGTGAGTGAACGTCACCGAGAAGATGTTTAAATAGGCTAAAATCATTTAATATCGATCTTCTTCTGAGAGGCCAGATTAGATAAGGTAAAAAGAAAATTGTTTCATGTCGGGTGATAAGAGTGAGTTACCAATGGCTTTCAAAATGAAAGACTTATTTCAATCGTTTTAAAAGAAATACACAAAATGTACACGCAAATACCCACGCTAAATCTGCCAGCTATTTTAAATATTTTGAGAACAGTTTATATATCCTTGATATTATTTGATAACCACTCCAAGTGAAGCTATCTAAGTGACGCTATCTACGCAAGAAACTATCCCATGAGGTATTTAATCGATAATGAAAAACTTGTATTTTTAGTTTGTCAGTGTGTCTGTATCAAGATTTGGCATATTCAACATTTTAACTTCGCCTATGAAAAGAAGAAATGTTCAAACTGTGGGCGTATAGTAAGCGATCAAGCATCTGATGTCGATCTCGGAAACCGTAAGGTTAGGTTTGGAATCACTGATATTAAGAACTTGGATATTGGTGATAGGTAAAAAGATAGTCAAAAGCACTCAATAAAACGTTCTTAAAAATTCTAATATACATTAGGGATAGTAAAACAAAACATTCACGCTTTCTTTTTCATTTAATAAATCATGAAGGAAAACTCTACATATTATAAATAGTGTGGTATATATATATATATATATATATATATATATATATATATATATATATATATATATATATATATATATATATATACATATGTGTGTGTGTGTGTGTGTGTGTGTGTATAAATGAATAGTGACACACACACAGTTATATTTAAAAAATATGTGAAAGAAGGGTTATATTTTAAATACCAAATATAATTTCAATCGAATCTACCTTTCAACTGATCTTAATATCTTAATTATCCCTTCCACATATGACTTGCTAGGGAAGGTTTGTCACTAGCCAATATCTGTCATTGAAATAAATGGAGTAAATAAATACATTTAATTTTAAACCCAAAGACATTTATACTGAATAATAATTAATTTGCATTTATATTGTATGAAGATTACAATGATATGTAATTTAATAAGCGTAGATTTTGTATATAAAAAAAAATGTACGAAATTGGATTTGTTCAAAACATTGCTGTGATCCACTTTTGCACTGAAATGGAATAAGCTATTTTTAGTAATTCGTAAAGATGTCAATTTAGGATACTAGAATACCTGCCAGATTTGTTGTGTAACATAATCATCGCAAAACATCCTTGAATGATTCAATTGTAACTTGGACAAACATACATTTTGTCTTCATTAGATTTATTTTTGTGAATATTTGGATGTTTTTTTTTCCGACCACTAGCTGTCTTTTCTCACTTTTTCGCAATTTGGACATGAATTGTTTATCTGCCATTTCCTAGTTGATCGGAACTCTGGTATGATGACTTCGCACATGACTTAATTTTCTTGTGTTGCTCAAGCAAATCCTACCAGAAATTTAATAGTCTTTTTTATTTTAATTTTTATGTTCTGAAAGTTCCTTTCAGGATGCCCGTTCCATTATGAACTGTTTGTAGCCAGGCAGGGAGTATTATTTACATGGTATTCCCAATCATGTATACTGATGTTTGTAAGGATCAGTGATTCATTCAAGCCATCCTCATAATGATGTTTTGGCTCATGGGATGGTGGTTTAGCATCCAGCAACCACTTTATTATCAATGTTGAATTTTGTACAAATCTTTGCAAAAAAGAGGACCAAAATCTTACCTAGCTTCATCCAGATTTTCAGGAAATATCAGCTTCTAATTGGTCAATAAACACACAAGTGGGCGTTGCAATCCACCAATGCACAAATATTTTTCCAGCGCGTGACCAAGTCAAGTTTTCGTGGCACTTTCCGTGAGCCTGTCACATGATTACATTAATTATAAATAGCAGACACAAGCTTGCTCACTCTCTCTCTCTCTCTTCTTCTTCGAGTTTTCTCGCTACAAGATGTAGTTGTAAAAGGATCCCGTCTCGGCCATGTGTAGTCAGACGTTAAAAATGTATTCACGCATGCACGTACATACGAAATTTTCCAAACTACATTACAAACATACAAACAGTTCCAAACAAGCAATAAGAACTTTTCTTTTGAAATACTCTTCTAAAGCTACAGTTTATTAAGCATTTTTCAGCTTTATAATTCATTAAACTTTTGTGAGTTCATATATACATATTTCAATCTCAGCAATAAAACTTTAATTCAGTCAAAGGAACACCAACAGAATATTACCATCTACGCATGTACATCATTACATAAAAATAAATATAAATGTTGTTGTTATAAAAACATTTTGTGGTATTTTACGTTAAATATAAAACGTGTGGTCATGTTAATAAAGATCCATCTACAAATAGTTATACATATTAACATACCACACACAGTCTTTCCATTGGTAAAGTATCTCCAAAAAATCTGCGTAGGAATTTTTCTATCACTCAACCGAGAAACGATTACACGAACGCAAACTACAAAGTGCGATGGATAAACTGTCGTCTAAATTACGCAAAAATGAAAATAACACAGACATCTCATTTTGACAAATATAACATAATTATATATCTTGAAATACTGAAGAGTAAATTTATTCAATAAAATCCCCACTGATTTCAAGCACAGACTCCAGAGGCTCCGGAATCTCCTGTAACTCTTCTTGACAGTTTCCTTGTTTAAGTTGGTGAATGCTGCCATAATCCTTGCCTTCATTTCATCTTTGGTCTGACAAGAAATTTTTCTGATCTTTTGCTCAACTGCAGATTGACACTCGGAAACGTTAGTACTGGAGCTTCCGGCTCGAATACCAAGCAGTACAACATGCCGTTTCCAAATTTCTTGCGGAGTCATTTAGGTCACAGTGCTCTTTTTCCCACAGACGGTGCTAAACTGTGCAGTCAACAGAATAAAATAAAAAAACAATGCGCATGCGCTAAATTAAATTAAAAATCGCGAGAATTTACCCACTGTATGTTTGAGCATTGTTGCCCCAAAAAAGGTTTTTGCCAGTTTTTATAAAGGAAATTAAAGATCAATATTTATAGTTTGAAATGAATTTATTCATCAAAATATCAACCATCACATTCTATGACCTTCTCCCAACGGTTCAGCAACTGAGTAATGTCATTTTTGTAAAAGTCCTTAGTTTTACTTTGGAAAAACTTATGCACTTTCATTTTCAAGTCATCTTCACTATTAAATGTCCTGTTTTTCATGTGATAATCTAAGCCTAAAAACAAGTGAAAATCTGTTGGGGAGAGGACTGGTGAATACGGTGGATGAAGCATAATCTCCCACTATAGCTCTGCTATCTTGGCAAGGGTTATTTTTGCAACGTGTAGGCGAACATTGTCCTGGAGAAACAAATCTTGTTTTCTGTTTACTAATGCAAGCCGTTTCTTCAACAAATTTACTCGCAATATTTGTTAGCAGTAATGGTTTCACCCGTTTTTAAAAACTCATAGTGAATTATTCCTTGACATATACACCAAACACACAGCTAATTTTTTTATGGAGTAGTGATGCCTCTGAAGTTTCTGGCAAAGGATCACCCGGCGATAACCAATGATGTTTCCTCTTAGAGTTTGTATACATGATCCAATTTTTATCACATGTCATAATTCGTTCAAAAATGTGTTCTTTTATTAGTCTACTGTTATGAGAAGGGCATATGGTAAACCTCTGCAGTTTGTTTGCTGGTGTTAAGTCATATGGTACCCATTTGCTTAATTTCCAATTCTTCCTCAACTCGTGCAAATGCAGTCTTATAGTTTCATCGCTTACATTAAACCTCGAAGCTAGTTCATGACATGTCAGACCTAAATCTGATTCTATGGCTGCCTTTAAATCCTCATTATTTAGGGATATCGGTCGTCCAGCTCGAGGTTCATCTTCGAGGTTTTCATTGCCACAACGAAACTTCTGAAACCAAATATGTGCAGATCGTTCACTTAACTGCACCTTCGCCAAACGCTGTACAAAGCATATGATGCACTTGTACCAAGTTTAAACTCAGACAATCACGAAATACCAAATTTTTTATCAGTCATTTTGAGGGATCTGAAATGAGAAATAAAATGATATTAGTTATGTAATAAAATAATAACTAAATCATTCAAAAATGTACTTGTCAATACAAGTTGCTTTCTCTATACTTATGCTTGTTAGTAACTAAACAGTTTGGTCAGAAATAAGTTAACAAAGAACTTTTCGGGCACTTGATATATATATCTGCACATTGAAGAGGCGACAGTCAGGCCACGATATTTATTACTGTATGTACAGCAAATGTGGCACAAGGCCAAAAGAGGGGTTGGGGAAAAAGGACGGTCATCATTTGTCTTAATTTTAAACTTAGCTAGCCACAACCACTGACCCAAACATACAAAACAATAATCCTACCACCAAAACACTACATTCATAATTACCTTTTTACTACATCCATCAAAATACCCCATTGTCTCAATAAGAATCCTAATTAACCCCATATGTACAAATAATGTCTGTGGGGGGGGGGGATAAAATATAACAAGTAAAAGAACCCCAATGAATATATACAATATGACTTAAAATTATTTACATGAAACTAAACAAAATCATGTTAGTAATAAAAACCCCCACAAACCCTAAATGTGACAGCAAAATCAATTAACTGAACGAAATCAACAGGGGACTTTAAAAATATAGAAAAAACATTAATCCCTCCCAAACACTCACACAAACATGCACTGATTCAGACACAACAACAAATACGAAAAAACACACCCTCGAAACGAAAGGCGTCCCGCATTCACCAGGGAACTGAAAACACTGACTACTTAACGAGGGATGGGATGGGGAGTTAACTAAACGAAAAGAAAAGGGGACAGAAAAAGGGGGGGCAATGAGCAAACACACCCTAGCTAAGTTTACAGAAGAAGAAAAGAAAAACTAAAAAAATCAAAACCAAAAACCTACTCTAGCCTAAAACCAGGGATGGGTTTCCCAAGTTCAACCCAGGAAAACAATACCCTGA